TACTAAATTGTTCGTTTTTTTTATTTTTATGACATTTTTCATTAAAAGGTTTTAAGATTCGAGCACAATGTAGCACAAATCTAGCACAATTCAGCACAACTCTCAAATTAAGTTATTTCTAAAAGTGGTGGACTAACTTCTAATAGGTCGTGAAGTGACGTTGCATCGTCGGCGACGCTAATGGACTGCGACGTTTTTACAGGCGGAGCTAAAAGCTCCGACCCATAACAGTGACGTTTTGCATGCGTACTATTTATACTTGTGCGCTATTAGCCGGCCCGATACGATAAGACACGAGTCGCGCGGAGGGAACGTGGAAAAACGTTAGAAAATACGGAGGCGGAAAAGCACGTCGACAATGATACGATTGAAAAGCATAAATCCTGAGATATCTAAAAGAAGTTTTATCCTTTGCCTTTCCAATTCCTTTATTTTTTTAAATGGGGAATTAACATAATGTGGATTAATAAAATTAAGAAAAATAACATAATCCACATAAAGTATCTCTCAAAACCTAATTACTATTCGTCAAAACTTTAAGCAGCTCGGAGCATTCGCGAGAATTTCGCTCGTCACATTTTTTTGTAGGAAAATCTGTGGACCGAATATTTTTTTTCTTTTTACAAGTACAATATAATTTATTCGCGAGAGAAGCATTTATCTCTCTCAAAATGTAAATAACATTCTTGCCTCCGCATTAAAATTTTTATCATTCGTAATATTTTCAAGGGAATGGATCACCGAGTGTCTCGTGAACTTAACTCGACTTAAAGGAACGATCGCAAAACAAATAAATAATTTTCGCAGTTAAAACAATTCCACTGAGAAAGGGAAAAACATGCGATCGCGCGATTCCGTGCTGACTTCGGGATACTTAGGTGCAATATTTTCTGACATTCTATATCCTATTCGTAGAACGGTCTTTCGGACGACGAAATAAAATCTATGCCACGTAGGTGGTGCCGGAGAACTGGCGAGAAGAAGCGAGATAGCTCGACGACAACGACGGCGACGACGTATGACCCAGATAAAGTAAAGAAAACAATCGCGAGCAAAAGCGACAATAATGACGACTTAGAGATAAGTGCGGAACTCCGACAATAAATATGTAAGACTGATACCGCGCCTCCGAGGAAAGGATAACACTGCCCATGTAGGAAGGAGATAGCGACGTATCGATTGCGCGTGAAATATCTTCCGTTGCTCTCGCGTGTACGAGACGCTCGTTTCCCCGAGAAACTCCGCGCCAGTTCGCGTCTTCCCGCGAAGACGGAGCTCATCGTGGATACCTCATCTGGAATATTTTAAGTATCAACTAAGTCAGCTAACGAAGAGGAGAAGGATGAAAATCGCAGTCCAACCGCCGATCGCGACTCTATGAAGATCATCGCGACGCCGCGACGCGCGAGTTCCTAGAGGAAAGCGGCTGACGAAAACAAGACGAGAAGAGATGTCACTGAATCACAGATATTACGTAAGTAGCCTGGATCTGTTCTGAGAGTAATAAGAACGCGCGCTTGCCGGGAAAAGGATGAATCACCGTAACGATGAGGTACGACTTTCGCGCGAGATAACGAAAATGGGAAATTCCCTCCGGTGTTCTCAAGTTGAAGCTGCCGGATAATGAAAGGGTTTATTGCGCGTATGGGCTCCAAATTCAAACGTTTACTCTTAGAAGATAAGTTATTTTCTTTCGCACTCACGCGAGGTACGCCTCGATTCGTATCGTTGTATTCATTCTGACGCGAGCAAAAGTTTTTAGTCGCGGGAGATTCGCTGAAGAAGCGCTCACTGTGAACTTCAAAGTCGGTTAGTGGGTTATTGGGCTCGCACGTGCTCGAAAATGAGAGATAAATATTAAGGATGTATTACACCTATTTTTATATTTACAATGAAAACATTATATAAAGATTTTTTCAGAATATTCTAAATCGCATTTGAAAATAATACAAAAAAGTTTAGCAACTTTTAGAACCTAGATCAAAAATTATTTAAATAAATAAGTAGAAGTGTGTTTTAATGACAATGTAGACACTTAAGAAGTAATGACAAAAAAAATTGAGATTTTGGTTTTTTATTAAAACAAATTTCTATTTTATATTCAAATAATTTTTTATCCAGGTTCTAAACTGCCACAAAATTTCTTTTAAATGCGATCTAGAATAATTTATAATTTCTTCATAATTTTGTCATTGCAAATAAAAATAGGTGTGTATCCTTAAAGTGAAATTTAATCACAAAATATGATCATAAATGCGTATCATCGCGACGATAGTCATGCAAGTCGCTTCGATCATTCATCCCGCAAAGGAGATTACTTTCATCATTCGATCATTAAAAAATATAATATTTCATTAGGAGTGCGATTACGATAAACTATTTTCGGGGTGAAAACTCTGGTCTCTCCCTCTGTCGCAAATTATGTTGGCCCAGTTAATAAAGTATGGCGAGATTACACGACGCTGTTTCGCGTCGCTGCTACAATGCGATGTACTTGACGACAAATTCGAATCTCTCACCGCAGTACGGTGGTTATTGTTCGCAATGGCCGTAGCCAGAACATAATAGATAAGCGTGGACCTCGTAGGCCAAGCGGCAGCCTTGCCGCTGAATATCGACCGACGCTGTCTGCTATCCTTCCTGTGCTATCTCCCGTTGGCGCGCAACTGCATCCGAGAAATTAAAGCTATCCGTTTTAAAACCCTTTCAACCTCGTCGTGATATGTCCGAGGGAAGACGAAACGAAATCTCGAATAATTATGAAAAAAATCTAAATAATCTTTTCTTCGTCACACCTTTTTTTCGGGACTTTTACCCAAATCTCGCAGAATGTGTCGCACTATCAGATTGCGTTTCGTATTATTATATAATCTATAATATATTCGCGTGTACGCTTTATCATAACCGATATATTCGTCGCTTGGCGCGACGATCGTGTCGTTACGATTTTTTTTCTTTTTCTTTTTTTCGACGCAATATCGGAAGTATCGCTCAGACGCCGAGTCAGCCACGTCCGCGGCCGAGTGGAGTGGGGGATTATTTATGCATGTATGTATCTTGTATATCGATTCTCGCGCCAGCACGACGTATTATTATTATTATTACTTTCCTCCTTGACGAGGAGACGTAGCGCGCATCAAGAGCGGCTGCACCGACGCTGCCGTGCATGCGAGCGGACGTATAAAATATAGCGGTAAAAGTGTCGCTGACACGTTGGAAAAATCGCTACTGCAGCCGAAGGAATAAATTATCGATGTATAGAGGGACACGTCTCTCCCGTTCCCCACTTTCATAAGCCACCGCGCGGCTGAGTTCGCAAAGTTAAAGCGCGGAGCGCGGAACTTTTTCTGAGGGATGGCCATCGGATAGCGATCGGATTTTATATCGAGACTTTTCGCATTCGTCTCGCTCGCAATATCGATCGCCATGGAGATCGTTAAAAGACAAGACAATCATCCTCGCGAAAAAACGATTAGTACTCTTATTTATATTAGGAGAAATTACCGCTCATCAGACGGTTCGATCGGCGAAGCTGTGATTATCGCGAAAAGAACAGTTTTGTCTGAAAAATAATGTCGTTGGGTCATCAAAGTAATTATAGTAGATGTTTAAATTAATTGCTAGAATATAACATAATTTTGCATTATTTTCATCATTTGAATATCTTACGTTAATAACTTTAATGAGAGAGAAAATTAAATTTCAGATTCTGTATCTGTTCAAATTTTTAGATCCAAAATTATTTTTTTTGTGCAAGTGCACGACTGCTCATTCGAAAAATGTTTTCTCAGCGAAAGAATCTGTAAAGTTATGTCTTCGTTTCGTTTTAATGGGAAATGATTAATTGCTGCTTTCGAAAAAATTTGATGTTGAAAATAATGTAAGAAGAAATAAGTGAAGAAGTAATTTAAATGATAAAATTAACCGAGTAAGAAATTGAGACATTTGACTAAGAAATGTCAAGGTCAAAGAAGGATTTAATGTCACTGTTAAACTATATTTCGCTATTAGCAATCGGTCTAATAGAGACGAACGACAGCGGTAATAGGTTTAACTCTTTTTAAGACGGGCGGTGTTCCACGAATTCTGCAGCAGGACATCAAAGCTTTTATTGTTAGCCGACAAGAATACTCAGCACTTAGCAACGAACAAAGGTTTCGGACATCAAAGACTTTGTTGGAAGCTAATGAAAAATTATTATATAGAATACTTATACACGCATACAGATTATTTCAGAAGGTATGTATCTCTTCTAAGCCATCGAGATGTAAAAGTAATAGAACTTCTTGATAAGAACAAAAAAATTTTTAATTAACATTACAAATTAATCGTTTAAAAATAACCGTTTGAAATTTCGGACAAATTAGGAATTTAAAAATCTTGCCTATTAAGTCTCAGCGTGTGAAAATATTGCAAATATGGTCGTGGACGGTGCTTCCTTTTTCGATGCCGAAGCCAATCTCACACAGGCTGCCGATCGTCGATATTTCGCGTCCCACGGCTGCGAAATCCAGGTGATTCGGTGCCGAACGATAGAGGTTCGCGCATGTTTATTCATAGACAGTCGCCCGGGCATCACGTGCGACGCAGACGCCCGTTGCAAACCTGCCCGTGTGCTGCACGCGCGCGACAATCTGCCGTGCCGATCGTGTGCTGCATTGTTCTTTTGCTTTGTCGAGACGCTTTAAAGGCGTCGGCTGAATCATCTCCTATTCGTAGACGAGGGTGCGCACCGGGCTCTAATATTCGTTAAAACCGAAATATCACGTTTACGCTGATATACGGCGCGATCGCAGCGCGACGGATGGGTACCTGAGGACATTAACATTTGACAAATCTTAGATTTTAACAGGACAGGTGCGAGTAAAACGCTACGAGATATCGTTTACATGTCTAATATACGTGTTAACAGCGTCGTGCACTCGATGTGCAGTTTCTTGTTCAATATATTATCCTTCCTACATAAATTTCTCATTTTATTACGAATAATCGCGGTATATAAATACCCAGGCAGGGAGGAAAGCGCATCGTTTTTAAGACATCAAATTTATCGCCGCTGTCGACCCGTCCGTCATCGCGTTTGTTGCACTCGTTGATGCTCATCGTGAGCCCGCTCTTGTTCGCCTCGAGTTTTAGTCCCCCTCGATTTTCCGTCCGCGGGCTGATTGACGCGCCGCATCGCGCATCGGCACATTGCCTTCGCGATACTTTTCCGACGACGCGACGTCAGTGACTTCTCTCTCGAAATGGCACGACGCGCGACGTCGGCGCAAATATAGATTCGCAAATTGATTCACGTGTGCGCGCACGTAGATCCGCATTAACCCATTTTCCTTTGCGCACGCCCCCGCGTGTGCCATCGCCCCCGCTTTCGATAGAAACGTCCCCGCGAGCTTTAAAATAATAAGTTACAAATGTGCTTCGCGCGAGGCATTATGTATTTTTAGCGGAAAAAAAATATTTTCCTCGTGCTTACCCAACGTTAATTTTAAACGGTCAAAATCGAAGCTGATGAAGTAAAAAAATGATGTGAAAAATTGTCACGATTTAAAATTGACGAGGTCACGTCGCGTTTGAATATTTTCTGACAGATTTGTCTCGAGACGACGGTCGCGTTTGCGCGATCGAATCGATTCATGAATCGATGAAATCGTCCGAGGCGAGAGGCGATCGCTACCGTGTACGTAGCCTCGAAGGGTATTATGGTCGAGTGGTTGAGTTCTAACAGGATTAAGTGCCGCCACAATGGAGGGTCGTATTATCAATTTCGCTACGTGGCCGATCGAGGGATTCGCGAGGAACTCGATCAGAATTCCGGGCGAATTTATGATATATCGGGACTTCCGATCGCGCACGGGAACATGAATATCACGGTGGCCTGGAGAGCCTTGCGTGTGCGAACTTTCGTCGTTATCATCAACGTGTCACGGCACGCGTCCATGGTGTTGCCGTAATAAATATCACACGCCAAAGAGGGATGCGGCGAGCTAATGAAATGCTCGACTGACACGCACGGGGATTTGACGTATGGGTCAACGACGTGCCTCTAATGGCGATTAGGTTGATCGTGTTACAACAATCGGCTCGTAACACTTAATATTCCGTTCACCAAAGCGCGTCAAGGATATCGAGTTCCTATCGATCACCTTCGCGCAGCGCGGTCTCCACGAGAAAGCCACGTTCCTCGGCGAAATTTTGATTAAACGTCATGCTGTTTCGAATTAGAAAATGTTGGGAAAATGCACGACCGACAACGAGAAGGAAACTTTTTTTTCCCATAGAAACATTATTGAGTCGTAATGAGTGCTTTGACAAGCACGCACATTGAGGATGATCCACGCCAATCTCGTTTGTCGTAACGAACCCTTGACGAAACCGAGGATTTAATAGGGTTCGAGACTAATGCAACGGTCCGATAATACGGTCGGGAAATTTTGTTTGGGTCAACAACGCGTTACGCCGTATTTACGCGGC